TCAATTAGAGACGGCTCTAAAAGCTTTTTTCAACAAAATGAAGTTTCCATCCAAAGAGCAGGCTCCCAAAAAGGAGAGCAGGCTCCCAAAAATTGGAATATGAAAAGCTGTCTCTAGAAAAAGGCAGAGCCGGCTCCTTCAGTGCTAAATTTTTTTTTTTTTTTTTTTCCAACTCTCGAGATCTCCTCTGCAGATAATTGAGCCTGCTCAACAAAAAGGAAGAGCCGGCTCCTAAAAATGCCTTAAACATCCATCTCTCGGCATCTCTGAAAAAGCCCAAAAGAGCCGGCTCTACAAATTAATTAAGCCGTCTCCAAAAAATTGGGTTGAGCCGTCTCCACATTTCTTCTTGAGCCGACTGTTCATTATTTTTTTTTCATTTATTTTTTTTTTTTGTTTTTGCTTGGCAAGGAGCCGCGGCTCTAAAAATTCTAAGAGCTGGCTCCATATTTATTATGAGCCGGCTGCCAACTCAAAGAACCGGCTCAACAACTTAGAGTCGGCTCCATTGAACTTCAAGAGCCGGCTCCATTAAATCCCAAGAGCCGGTTCCATCTCCTTAATATGGTCCTTCGAATTGCTCTCTGTTGTATATCATTTACTCACTGTTGGGCATAATTTCATTCACTTCCAGAGAGCATCTCGGCTAAGGCTTTCTTCATTCTCCTCTAGTCTCTTCAAGCAAGTAAGTTTTCATCTATTTTTTTCTACATTTCATAAATTCATTACTTGTTTATTGAATGTTCAGTAATTAATTTTTAATTTACTCCTTTGATTTCATCATTCCATGAGACCCTTGATTGCAATGTAGCCTTTTTCTTTCACATGTAAAAGACTTATTCTAGCAAGAATTGCTTAGTCTATGGTCTGCAAATTCAAAATTTATGCACAAACTTCCATTTGTCCTTTAATCAATTTGTTGATCCATCATATTTTGATCAAATCTTGTGTTCTTGCATAAATTTTGTCAAAAAAAAAGAAAAATTAGTTTGGCAAATATTTTTGTTTGTTTTTGTGTTTTATTATCTAAATTTATTTTTGAATACTTGTGATGACTTTGGTTCATTTGAGTAGTACATTTCACAATTATGTTGAATTCCTACTCTTAGGATGAATTTATATATCTCTCAATCCCTAGAGCATGTTATATAAATTTTTTTTTGTTTATCAATTTCACATTTTGGGACTGTTCCATGCACTGTCCTGTTAAAATTCCATATGCTTCCATTTCAGTTTAAATTTGAATCCTCTAGTATGCCTCCATTTTGGTTCTTCATGTCTAGATAAATTATTTTTCCCTCAAAATTCTAACTAAATGTGCAACTTTGCCTGGGCCTTTCCATTGATTCAATTTGTTTTACTGTTAATCTTCTGTCTACACTTATTTGAGATTGAATTTTTTCATTGCCTTTTAAATTGGATTTTTATTCAGAGAATTCCTCTGTAATTTCAGTTTAATTTCTCGAAATGTCTAAGGCTTCATCCTCACGTAGAAAGAATCCCTCTCATGGACAAAAACGGTCTACTCAACATAATGATGAATCAGGCCCTAGTGAACCAAATCCTCCTCCACTTCAAATCTCTGCCACCATGCTATATAAAAACCCCACATACAAAAGCATATATTACAAATTGTTTCAGCATAGAAAGGTGGCCACAGCAATGGTGTTGTCTGACACAATTTGCAATGATCTTCATCTCAACACGTATAGATTGTTTGATGCAATTGGCCTTGGATCATTTGTTGGAATGAATGAAGGTTACTATCCAAAATTAGTAAAGTTATTCTACACTCATCTTGAAGAAATGCCTGGACAAGAAAAACTTAACTGCTATATGGCTGGAATATATTTTCACCTTAATATAAACAGCATTGCTCGAATCCTTCATCTTCCCTCTGTGGATGGAATTCAATTCTATTCTCATTTCAACTGGTTTGAAGGACAAGGCTTTGATAAACTCGCGGCTATTCGGCAAATGAGTTATGATTCAAATGTAACAAATACCAGAGAAGTCAACACCAAACAATTAACTATGGAAGCTCGGCTGATTCACAAGATCATCATGTACTCTATTCTTCCCAAATCTGGCAGTCGATCCAAAGTTTCCCACATGGACGTCTTTCTTATCTGGTGTGTCTTAAATGGTAAGCACTTTGATCTTACATACATTATATTTCATCACCTTCTTACATGCAAAAGAAAGAAAAAGGTCTCTCTTTATTATCCCATGGTTCTCTCTCACATATTTATGGCTAAGAAGGTTCCGCTTGATAGTCGTGAAGCAGTCAAACCAGGGCCAAGACACATTCTCACTGCCTCCAATCTTGCGTCAATGGGGCTAAAAAGGGATTACAATAATGTGTGGTTTTATCCTAGGCAACGAAGGTTGGAAGAGGCTCGAGCTAGAGGAGAAGAGATTGAGGATGTTGATGATGGGGATGAAGACGACCATGAAAGTGATGACGATGATGAAAATGAGGAAGTTCTAGTTGAAAATCTTACCAATCGTACTCTCTTGTTGGAAATTCTCAAAGGGACTCGTCAAAACCAAGCCACTCTTGAGAAACAACAAACTCAACTTGACGAAATGCACATGGCAATTGCTCATCTTAATGACGATTTTACAGAATTTCAAAACCAATATGGACATTCTTCTCCATAGAACAGTTTTTCTCCATTTCAAACCCTCTTTTGTGTGCACTTATTAGCTTTATTTGCTTTAGAAAAGCATTTTTCTGTGTTTTATAAACTGTGCCTTTATCTGTCATATGGTACTCGTGTTCACGTTCTCTTTATGTTATCTATAAATTGCCATATTTGCTTATCTTTTGCCCTTTAATTCATTCTTCTCTGATATTTCCTGAAATGGCAAGTTATTTTTCTTTATCTATTCATTTAGTCTCCCATTTTTTTTGAGATGACAAAGGGGGAGAAAGATGTGTTATCATGCTAATGTGCTATTCTATTGCTTTTTTAAGTATCTTGATAGATGCATATTGATAGGATTCGAAGCTCAAAATTACAATTCATGCATATCATTCTCATCTCATCTCTCAAAGAACATAAAATTAGCTCATTAGCTTTTTAAACACATTCATATGAGCCTTACATCATACTGGAATTCATTTTAAGCCTCCTACTGAAAGTAGAGAAGGCTCTACAAAAATTAGAGAAGGTTCAAGGGAAAGTAGAGAAGGCTCTACAAAAGTAGAGAAGTCTCTAGATTTGTAGAGAAGGCTCAAAAAATTAGAGCAGGCTCCATTTCAATTAGAGACGGCTCTAAAAGCATTTTTCAACGAAATGAAGTTTCCATCCAAAGAGCAGGCTCCCAAAAAGGAGAGCCGGCTCTCAAGGCTAGGGAGCCGCCTCCTCTTGTTTACAAGAGCCGGCTCCTTCTAGGGTTTGGGTAATTCATATAGTTTTGTATGTGATATTACTTATACAGCATGGTGTGAATACTTAATTATGAAGGTGAAGATTGTATTTTTTTTAAGGAATATAAATTTTTTTTGTGCTTTCTTATTAATATACACACACGCGCCCATACACACACATATTATTTTATCTATATTCACTTCAAATCAGAAAAACAGTATGGTGAATTCATATAATTTCATATGTGCTATTACTTAAATAACAGGATGTGAATACTTAGTTGAGATGGTGAATGTACTTAGAAGAGATTTGCCGCTTCAACCAAATATCTCTATATAAGTTTGCCGTTGTAGATATACTTAGTCATGTCAAACAAGCAGTGCATTTAATTATACATTTACAGCTAATGTTGTGAGTTATTACACAATTTCGTGTTCAACTAATCCTAACCTACCACATTAATTGGCTATGCACATTGACTATATATCCACCATAAGTTCTTCCCTTTCTGGTAAACCAATGGTTAACCTTCCCCCAAAAGGTAACCAGCATACACAAAACAAGTTGGCTCAGAAAATGAAAATAGAAGAACTCCCACCGCCGTTGCTCAGTGAGGTGGTTAGTAGAGTGGCAGCAAATAATTTTCAAGACCTACTACAACTTCAACAATGGTAAGGATTTAATTGTACATTATTGTTTTATGTTTATAATATTTTTTTCATTCACGAAATTTTTTGTTAAAAGTGTTTAAATATGTGCAGTTCTCATAAGCTAGCTATGGTGTGTTTGGAGCCACATATGTTACGACTTCTCAGTTTTAAATCCTTGTACGAAATACAAACGGGGGGTACCAGTGATACTTACTATTTGCGATGTGTGTTCATGCAAAAGTGTGTTGATAATGGCAATTTGGAGGCTATGTTTGTCTCCGGAGTGGTACGCTGCTTGCACTCACTTTACTAAATTGTGAAAGTAATTTAATCGGGTTTATTTTTAATAACTTTATGTTGGATGTAGGAGCTATTTTTCTTGCATCAAAATCGGGCAGATGGCCTAAGTATTCTAACCAAAGGTGCATATCTTCAACATATTGGTTGTAAGTTTGCTTTAGCCATTGCATTAATATATGGCAATGATGCTGATAAAGTAAATGGTATTCAACAACTTTCGAACATGAACACAGACATAACAAATAAACTGATCATAAAACATCAGAGGGAACAAATGATTTCAATAGTGAAAAGAGGGTGGTCAAATGGGTTATTTCATAACATTCCTGCTTGTTGTGAGGAAGATTATGGACCACCGAACTATGAAGGTGACATGGTTCACGTCAAATGGTGGATGGTCGAGCAAATAAATGAGGAGAAAATAAAATGTAATCTTTGCCATTGCGATCTCCACATATTGATGGTGTCTGGCATCATTGGAGAAAAAGTCATAGTCAACTGATGATAACCGTTGATGTTGTTTTCTGTATGTAATGTGATATATGTGTATGTATGTAATGTGATGTATGTAGTGTGATGTTGTATTTAACTTTTGAAGTAACAAAATGGAACTTTTGGGATGGATAATCTAATTAACACTGTCTAATGTAAAATCGCCATATGCAAGAGGCAATTAAGTATCGCCATCATTGGAGAAAATAGCCAAATGCCATTCACGGAACCATGTCACCTTGAAATTAATGGTTTCAACCTGTTCCAAATCACAAACAAAATGGACTAAACAATATATGTACACATACATATTTCAATTGACATAAATAGGCCTGAATAAAAATCCATTTCATTTTCCATATATACAAAACCCAAAAAACAAAAGTGAACAAGTTATCCATACATTTACAAATCTTTACTCAAAAAGGGATATATTTTTTATGCCACCATATTCTGTTATCATCCATCAACCATAGTATACCTATACACCATCAATTTGTTATGAATTTCTTAACTCAAAACAAATTTTGCCGAGCTGGAGGATTGATCTCGGATGTTGTCTCCTCCGACATTGGCATCAAATTACGGTCACCACTAGTGTGATCAACATCCTTAAAATGGATCATATAAAAACAATGTTTGTACATACGTTAATTAATGCAAAGTTAAAACATACATGTTTAGAATATATTGCAGAAGCATAAATTTTATAAGAGATAAACTTACAAGATAATCTGAGAATCGGCATTCATGATACGAAACAAATGGAGTCCCCTGCCAATATATTCTCATTGTTCATTAACTAATGGATTTCAAAAATATGAAATAATGTTCATTAATTTTTATATACCTAGTTCAGAAAAAAAGTTTGTTTAAACCTATTCAGTTGGTGGAGTCCTGGGATGACTGAAGTTAGTGGTAGGGCAATATGTCATTTGGTCGATATTTGTTTCCGAATGTAAACGTGCACATGGGTGATGATCTTCGTAAATCCAAGTGGCGACGCTAGGAATGTCACAACCCTTATTTCAATATAAACATTCTTAATTAAGAGATTATCATTCTGAAAATTATAATAATATATAAAAAATAAAAAATCAATGTTTTCATTTAAGAAAAGGAGAAAACTCACATTCAGACGTACATATGTAATAGGTGGCACGGTACTACTGCCACCTACACCTGCACTAACACTGTTGTTGCCATTTGATTTCTACAAAATAATAGATTTATTCATTGTAAAAACAAAATTATGACATTGCTAATATCAAAATGTTAATGACATATACTGAAAAATTAAATTATCAAATAATAGAAAAATAAATTAAATTAACCTTTCGTTTCACATAGTTTTTTTTTTCTCTGCATGTATTGTTCAAACTTATTCTTCTTCCTGCGCCTTGGTCCCTTACCACCTGTTTCTTTATTCTTTATACCCTTGGCATTACTTCCGGTCACGGCTTCCCCAATGATACTTTCATTATGTTCATGATTATTACTTCTTTTAGTTGAAAAAGCTGAATTGGTTGCCTCTTGTTCAACATCGAAACATTGCCTTTCAACATTAATGTGTTTCCTTTTCCATTTCATCCCCTTTAGCATCAAATTATTGAATACATCTTCTTTCTCGGATGCAAATGAGCTGATTTCTGTAAAAAAATGACATAACATCCTATACCTTCTGCGTACTTCAAGTTTAGGATTAGCAATAACTTCACATCCACGGATGTCTTGTACGCTGTTATCCCTAGCTTTTCTCGTCCACCTTTTTAGTATATACATAGAAGGTAATTCTTTGAAATACTGAGTGTCGTCTTTCAGTACTTTAAGTACATGGCTGCACAAAATACCTTCCATTGCATATTTCCCGCACGAACAAGTTAGAAAGCCATCATCCCACCTTGTCACAGTCCGATCCATACTGCCATCATGAACAGATACTCTAGAAACACGTAATCCATTTTCATCAAAACTTGTTCCTTCCACGGTACCAACCACACAAGCTTCTATGAATTGGTCCTGGAAAAGTTCAAAAATCTTCAATGTGTACATATTGCCCACTTGTTTTAGAATGGGACAATTTTGTTTAAGTCTAGGTAGTTTACTGAGTAAACCATACTCAGCTTGATATTCCTTGTACCGTTTGTCTGACAATAGCCTGTCAAGGTGCATGAAGAAATCTGGAATACTCATTTTCCTGGTTAAGTACTCTTTCAAGCAGCTATTTAAACTTTCACTCAGCTGCGTTGTCCGCATTCCAGCGGTAAACCAATGTTTAACAAATAGATAACCCCATTTTTCTCTTAAACCAAACAAATTGTTCAACCATGTGTTACCAACAACATTGTAGTCCCTTAACATTACATCCCATTGTATACAAAAATCATCCTTGTCATCATAACAGTACATGAATTGACTCAGCACACTTTTAATCCCTTCATCATTCCTAAAAATGGTGCCTACATGCTTCTGTGCATTTGCCATGATGTGCCACGTGCAAAGTAAATGTCTTGTCCTCGGCATAACTTGTGCCAACGCCTTTGCCATTGCACCATCTTGGTCAGTAAGAATCATTTGTGGTGCTTTACCTAACATTACATTCAAGAATATATAAAAAAAAAAAGGCATGTAAATGAATAGGCAATCTTATTATACATCATCACTAAAATTTTTAACAGGATTGAAAATTTGAAGGCAAGAACATTATGGCCCAATAAAATATCTTCATTTGAAAAAGTAATTCACATAAAAAAAAAGGTAAAAAAGAATGGCCATGTTCAATTATTAAAGGCTGAAGTTGATCATGCCCTTTTTTAACCCTTCCTTTTCTTTTCTTTTTTTCTTATATATATATATATATACTTTTTCAGTATGATTCTGATTTTTATTAAAAGGGCATGATGAAGCCTTTAATAATTGCAAAAAAAAAATTTACATTTAGACTACTTACCTGACATTGCATTCAAGAATGAATCAAACAGCCACGCAAAGGAATTGGCAGTCTCGTCATACATCAATGCTAGTCCAAAGACAGCAGTCTCCCGATGATGATTCAAACTAAGAAAAGCCGCAAAAGGACGATTGCTTTGGACGAGCTTGTATGTCGTGTCGAATGTGACGACGTCTCCAAAATGCCCATAGTCAATTATCATTCTCGAATCTGCCCAGAAGATATTAGTTATCATTTCATCGCTATCCAACTGCACGGTGTGAAAAAATGAAGGATTCTCACAAGATTGAATTTTGAAATAATTCATCAACCATGTCTTCTCTCCGTATTCTAACTCACTCTGTCTTCTTGTCCTTAGAAAATTTTGTTGATTAACTTTGGTGTAGCCAATTGATTGCCTCCCACCAGCTTGCCTGCTCATTAACTCAAATGCATTACCGAGTGGAACTCCAGATTGGCAGGCCAATTCCACATCAATTGCTTGGGCAACACTTATTCTTCGTTGTGATGGCATCATATGTGTGCATTCTTCAATTATCATAGGATGATTGTGAGATTCGACAAAATTATATACAACATACTTTCCCTTCTTGCGGTCATATCTAATTTGCATCAGTGCACCACAACCGGTTCGAGTTTCCGCCCTGGGCTTTCTTGTATGGATATCCCTCTTGTCTTTCACCCTAAAACCTTGTTTGGAACACACAAACTTGCTTGTTGTAATATTTCCTATCTTACGGCTTTTATTTGCATAATCCTTACGAATACTGAATCCAAGTTTACCCCCATAAGCATTATAAAAGTCGTATGCTTCATCCTCAGTGTGAAACTGCATGTTCAATTTTGGTATGAATTCTATGTCAATGGGATTGACAACTTCTGCTACTAAGTTTTCAGAAATATTGATTTCGGCAACGATTGGAACGCTTGTTCTCACATCATTAATACTTAAGTCATTATCCATTGGGATAACTTCAGTATGAATGCTACAACAAGCAAAAGGTCTATCAAAACGTTAAAGTCAGTTTCTATAACTTGTGACAAAAAATATATATATACTAAATATTTACCGAACTAATGAAAAGGGCTAAAAAATCATACAATTATCCAAGATTTCAGATATACTAGAATGCTTAACCAAAGTCAATTTCAAGTAAAAAAAATACCATAATTTAAACAAACTGATGACAAATGAAAGAATTAAAAAAATTTAACTTTAGGTGTGAAATTAGTTTTGCAGAGGTGTGAAATTAGTTTGCAGAACTGTGTTAATTGCTTATTTTGATGGTGAAGGTAATCAGTGTCCCTATTTATTAAACTTCACAATGTATTTTTTCTCATAAATGTGACATAATAACCTGTGAAATGTGTAATTGTCGCATACATGAGAAGACAAAATATTTGGATAACACATTGGTATCTAATGAAGCCAACTCAGTTAAAAAAAAAAACAATTAGGGAAGATTTTACATTCACTAGAATGGTTATTGAAGATTATAGAAGAAAATCCTACATTTAACCAAGATTTCAAATACTCTAGAATGCTTAACTAATGTCAATTTGAAGTAAAAAAAAAAATCATAATTTACACTAACGGATGACAAATGAAAGAATTAAAAAATGTTAAATTAGGCGTGAAATTAGTTTGGCAAAGGTGTGAAATTAGTTTTGCAGAACTGTGTGAATAGCTTATTTTGATGGTGAAGGTGATCAGAGTCCCTACTTATTAAACTTCACAATTCATTTTTTCTCATAAATATGACATAATAACCTGTGAAATGTGTAATTGCCGCATACATGAGAAGACAAAATATTTGGATAATGCATTGGTATCTAATGAAACCAACTCAGTTAAAAAAAAAACAATTATGGAAGATTTTACATTCACTAGAATGGTTATTGAAGATTATAGAAGAAAATCCTATAATTATCCAAGATTTCAAATACGCTAGAATGCTTAACCAATGCCAATTTCAAGTAAAAAGAATCATAATTTACACTAACGGATGACAAATGAAAGAATTAAAAAATGTTAAATTTAGGTGTGAAATTAGTTTTGCAGAGGTGTGAAATTAGTTTTACAGAACTGTGTTAATTGCTTATTTTGATGGTAAAGGTGATCAGTGTCCCTACTTATTAAACTTCACAATGTATTTTTTCTCATAAATGTGACATAATAACCTGTGAAATGTGTAATTGCCGCATACATGAGAAGACAAAATATTTGGATAACGCATTGGTATCTAATGAAGCCAACTCAGTTAAAAAAAAAAAACAATTATGGAAGATTTTACATTCACTAGAATGGTTATTGAAGATTATAGAAGAAAATCCTAGAATTATCCAAAATTTCAAATACGCTAGAATGCTTAACCAATGCCAATTTCAAGTAAAAAAAATCATAATTTACACTAACGGATGACAAATGAAAGAATTAAAAAATGTTAAATTTAGGCGTGAAATTAGTTTGGCAAAGGTGTGAAATTAGTTTTGCAGAACTGTGTAAATAGCTTATTTTGATGGTGAAGGTGATCAGAGTCCCTACTTATTAAACTTCACAATGCATTTTTTCTCATAAATGTGACATAATAACCTGTGAAATGTGTAATTGCCGCATACATGAGAAGACAAAATATATGGATAACGCATTGGTATCTAATGAAGCCAACTCAGTTAAAAAAAAAATAATTATGGAAGATTTTACATTCACTAGAATGGTTATTGAAGATTATAGAAGAAAATCCTATAATTATCCAAGATTTCAAATACACTAGAATGCTTAACCAATGCCAATTTCAAGTAAAAAGAATCATAATTTACACTAACGGATGACAAATGAAAGAATTAAAAAATGTTAAATTTAGGTGTGAAATTAGTTTTGCAAAGGTGTGAAATTAGTTTTACAGAACTGTGTGAATAGCTTATTTTGATGGTGAAGGTGATCAGTGTCCCTACTTATTAAATTTCACAATGTATTTTTTCTCATAAATGTGACATAATAACCTGTGAAATGTGTAATTGCCGCATACATGAGAAGACAAAATATTTGGATAACGCATTGGTATCTAATGAAGCCAACTCAGTTAAAAAAAAAACAATTATAGAAGATTTTACATTCACTAGAATGGTTATTGAAGATTATAGAAGAAAATCCTAGAATTATCCAAGATTTCAAATACGCTAGAACGCTTAACCAATGCCAATTTCAAGTAAAAAGAATCATAATTTACACTAACGGATGACAAATGAAAGAATTAAAAAATGTTAAATTTAGGTGTGAAATTAGTTTTGCAGAGGTGTGAAATTAGTTTTACAGAACTGTGTGAATAGCTTATTTTGATGGTGAAGGTGATCAGTGTCCCTACTTATTAAACTTCACAATGTATTTTTTCTCATAAATGTGACATAATAACATGTGAAATGTGTAATTGCCGCATACATGAAAAGACAAAATATTTGGATACCACATTGGTATCTAATTAAGCCAACTCAGTTAAAAAAAAAACAATTATGGAAGATTTTACATTCACTACAATGGTTATTGAAGATTATAGAAGAAAATCCTACAATTAACCAAAATTTCAATACGCTAGAATGCTTAACTAATGTCAATTTCAAGAAAAAAAATTCATAATTTACACTAACGGATGACAAATGAAAGAATTAAAAAATGTTAAATTTATGTGTGAAATTAGTTTTGCAGAGCTGTGTAAATAGTTTATTTTGATGGTGAAGGTGATCAGTGTCCCTACTTATTAAACTTCACAATGTATTTTTTCTCACAAATGTGACATAATAATCTGCGAAATGTGTAATTGCCGCATACATGAGAAGATAAAATATTTGGATAACACATTGGTACCTAATGAAGCCAACTCAGTTAAAAAAAAAACAATTATGCAAGATTTTACATTCACTAGAATAGTTATTGAAGATTATAGAAGAAAATTCTACAATTATCGAAGGTTTTAAATACTCTAGAATGCTTAACCAATGTCAATTTCAAGTAAAAAAAATATCATAATTTACACTAACAGATGACAAATGAAAGAATTAAAAAAGGTTAAATTTAGGTGTGAAATTAGTTTTACAGAATTGTGTGAATAGCTTATTTTGATGGTGAAGGTGATCAGTGTCCTTACTCATTAAACTTCACAATATTTTTTTCCTCATAAATATCACATAATAACATGTGAAATGCGTAATTGCCGCATACATGAGAAGACAAAATATTTGGATAACACATTGGTACCTAACGAAGCCAACTCAGTTAAAAAATAATAATTATGGAAGATTTTACATTCACTAGAATACTTATTGAAGATTATAGAAGAAAATCCTACAATTATCCAATATTTCAAATACACTATAATGCTTAACCAATGTCAATTTCAAGTAAATAAATATTATAATTTACACTAACGGACGACAAATGAAAGAATTAAAAAATGTTAAATTTAGGTGTGAAATTAGTTTTGCAGAGGTGTGAAATTAGTTTTGTAGAACTGTGTGAATAGCTTATTTTGATGGTGAAGGTGATCAGTGTCCCTACTTATTAAACTTCACAATATATTTTTTCTCAGAAATGTGACATAATAACCTGTGAAATGTGTAATTGCCGCATACATGAGAAAACAAAATATCTGGATAACACATTGGTACGTAATGAAGCCAACTCAGTTAAAAAAAAAAAAACAATTACGGAAGATTTTACATTCACTAGAATGGTTATTGAAGAAAATCTTACAATTATCCAAGATTTCAAATACGCTATAATGCTTAACCAATGTCAATTTCAAGTAAAAAAAAATAATCATAATTTACACTAACGGATAACAAATGAAAGAATTAAAAAATGTTAAATTTAGGTGTGATATTAGTTTTGCAGAGGTGTGAAATTAGTTTAGTAGAACTGTGTAAATAGCTTATTTTGATGGTGAAGGTAATCAGTGTCCCTACTTATTAAATTTCACAATGTATTTTTTCTCATAAATGTCACATAATAACCTGTGAAATGTGTAATTGCCACATACATGAGAAGAAAAAATATTTGGATAACAAATTGGTACCTAATGAAGCCAACTCAGTTAAAAAAAACAATTATGTAAGATTTTACATTCACTAGAGAAGATTATAGAAAAAAATCCTACAATTATCCAACATTTCAAATATGCTAGAATGCTTAACCAATGTCAATTTCAAGTAGAAAAATATTATAATTTACATTAACAGATGACAAATGAAAGAATTAAAAAATGTTAAATTTGGGTGTCAAATTAGTTTTACAGAGGTGTGAAATTAGTTTTACAGAACTGTGTCAATAGCTTATTTTGATGGTGAAGGTGATCAGAGTTCCTATTTGTTAAACTTCGCAATTTTTTTTTCTCATAAATATCAAATATTAACCTCTAAAATGTCTAATAAATCACCTAGAGCAGGCTCCAATATTTATTGGAGCCTGCTCCAGGTGATTTAGAGCCTTTTCTAAATAGAGCAGGCTCAATTACAAAGTGGAGCAGGCTCTACTTGGTAGTGGAGCCGGCTCTACTTGGTAGTGGAGGCGGCTCCACTTTGGGTGGAGCCGGCTCCTTTATGCATTTTTTCATTTTTTTCGTTTCCAGCCCGATTTGGCTGCCGCATGCATTTAATACCAATTTTTTTGATAACACATTCATACCTACTGAAGCCAATTTAGTTCTAAAAATCAATTATGGAAGATTTTACATTCATTGCAATGATAGATCGATGACAAATGAAAGAATCATAAATTTTCTAAATCAACTGTAAATGAACAATATATTAAATGCGCAATATTAATAACACTTACCAACAATCAAGCATTAATTAGGTCAATTGTAAATACCACATCAGGTCCATTGTAGATTTCCTTCCTGTAGATGAATAGTTGACATTGCATTGAGAAATCAGCACACTGCAATCTGGGTTTTGATTTAAAAAAGATTA